TCTCCGGCACTCTCCGGCACCCTCCGGCACTCTGCGGCAACACGATAAGGCTCGAAAACACTTTAAAAACGCGCGAAAACGACCGATAACGCTCGATAACAATCGAAATCACTCTAAAAACGCTTGAAAACGGTTGAAGAACACTGGATAACGTTCGAAAACGTTCGAAATCTCGCGTGCGTGCGTGCGTGCGTGCGTGCGTGCGTGCGTGCGTGCGTGCGTGCGTGCGTGCGTGCGTGCGGGAGCCGCCAACGGCGACTGGTAGATGGACCGCCATCGTGAGAGCGCGAGCTAGTATCAGGAATTCGTTGCGCCGCCCTTGGGGGCAAAAAACGGTGAAAGCTAACGTACGAAACTAGAGGGCAGCACGGGATGCGATCGGCCGATTCTGCCCGTAAGCAATCTCCCAACTCATCTCTGCTCCCAACTATCTCTGCGGATGCTACATTTTTTAGCGTGCCCGTGGAAACGCGGGAAAAATTAGAAATGTTTGATCGATATCAAAGCTAGGCGAGACTTGACATTGACATCTTAGAAAATGGTTAGATTAACAACGGCATATGTTGAGAGAAAATGTTCGCAGACTCAGGCCAGTAAATCCTTAACAAAGGACATCCAGAAAGACCACCTGAAAAAGATCACGCACCTTTACATGAATGAAAAATATATCAGAGCAATTGTAAGTTATTCCGTTATTTCTTCAGAGCACTTACGATTGGTGATTTTAATTACTGATATATTTTCAGGGAGATTTTTCAGTTTGTACGAACCTGAAAGTTATATATCTTCACAACAACTGTATTGCTAAAATTGAAAACTTGCAGTTCGCGGTGAACCTCATACATCTGTATTTACAGCACAATAATATAAGAAAGATCGAGAATTTGAATTCTCTTAGAAATTTGAAGAAACTTTATTTAGGGTATAATTACATTAAAACAGTGGAAGCTTTGGAGGAATTGGAAAACCTGGAGGAGCTTCAGATCGAAAAGCAAAAACTTTTGATGGGAGAGTCATTAGAGTTCGAGTCAAATTGTGCCAATACTCTATCCGTGAGTATTCTTCATATCCTACAGAGATTTCAATCTACTTACTGAGAAATTTTTACTCGATACATCAAAGTATTCAGCTTTTTCTTTTTGATCAGGGTCGTCTGAAAATTCTGAATATATCAGGAAATAGAATAACCACGCTGCGTGACCTCAATAACTTCCAAAATTTAGAAAAACTGGATGCTAGAGAAAATTTAATAGACGACATGAATGATTTACTGGAGACAACTTCATCTCTGCCTAATATCTTTGAACTTTCCCTTCAAGGAAACCCTGTAACAAAACGTCATCAGTACAGAGAAAGTCTAATCGGGAGCAGTCATCACCTAAGTGAGTTAATAATTGCACATAAAATAAAGGAATATTTCAGATATGAAAGATTGGAATGTTTATTCAAATTTGTAGAACATTTAGATGGGAAATTAATAACAGAAGTCTCACGACAGTTTATGATGAGATTTAAAACTGAAAAATTGGGACGACCTACAAGGAGGCGACTAAAGATGACTCTGAGCGATGACATTACAAGTACATTACTTAATTCGTTCCCCTTTATATTTATGATTTGTTAAACATACAGTTTTTATACTAGAATGGTATACACAACATATATTTTAATTCCAGGCTCTCTGAATTTACCGCCAGCTTTTAAAAGATCAGTTTCAAGAGCAATCGTGCAATCTGGACCAAAATTGTCAATAAGCGTCACATCTGTGACAGGAGAACTACACCCCCAGTATTTTCCACCTTGGAGATCAAGTAAAACCTTTAAAAATATCTTTATTACGCTAAGTAGGAATAGCGGTGTCTCTTTTTTTTCTATATATAACCTATCACCAAATATTCTGTAATTGTCACATGTTCAATACTTAATATCAAGCTCAACCCACACTCCATGTCTGATCGTTAACATGCTTTTCGTATTTGATATTTTAATAGCTCCTGCAGTGAAATCCTTTAAGAACAACCGGTTCACACCGAGACCATTCTGGAGGTGTACTCCGAAGAATAAAAGTCAATCGCCTCCAGCGCCAACCACCAGCACCATAATACTTCCACCGATCTAAATTACTCTTCGAGTCTAAAGATCAACAATCTTAATCATTCATTTGTACGGTTAATAAATTACAACAAGAAACTGCAAGACAGCTAAGATATAAACGAACCAAAATTGTAAGAGCCTAAGAAAGACACGAACCAGTCCACAGCCAGCCAGAGACGAATAATCAAATTTAGAGAATCACGTTTACGCTGAAAGTGAACACAAAAGGAAGCGGAAATTAAAACGCGAAAGAATGAACATACACGAATGTATACATATATTATGTGTATATACGGAATATTATCAAACTTTCGTACAAAAATTAGGGATTAGTCTTGCAAGACGGGGGTAAGGGCATCTTAAAGTAAATACCATTAATATATTAAGTATACGCTGTTAACATACTTTTCATCGTTAATCGGTAATAGAGAAAGGAAAGTGTTAAAAAATACAAACTTATCGTCTACATTTGTACGCCGCTTGAAGGTTCCTCGAAGAATTGTTAAGCGATAAAGGTTCATTAACGCGCGGCAGCAACACGGTTACTTTACAATCTTTGTGAAAGCAGATCTCATCCTTTTCTCTTCGTTCAATAAGGACTCTTTAATGTACAGGTGAGAGAATCCTCCCGAAGGATACATCCTCCGCGCGCATTTTGCTGCCCTGAGATGATAAATAAACAATAATTGTACAGCAAACTTAAACAGAAAAAAAAAAATAATAATCGCTCGACGGTGAAGCGTACGTTTATGGTACACGATGTTAGTTAATCGAAGCAATGGAATGTTAGACACGACACGACACGGTATTCTATCATTAAACATTAAATTTCGCGTTGTTCGTTACCATTACCGTATTATCATAGACGACTCGCTCAAACAAGTCATTTACGTTTTACAGGCAGAATGGAAAAAGGGATGAAAATTAACGTAGCTGCCTAGAGCCTTGAAACGAATACGAGGCCGTGGAAATGAAAATTGAAGCGCAGCCGCTGAAGAGATTACCGGGGCAAGGGCCGCAAGAAAGACGAGGTTTTCAGTCAATTTTATTCTAGGCAAGGATTAAAAGGCCACGTTTACGAGGCTGCGACATAATCTCCGAAAACTATCCCTCGATCCAGGCTACCCAATGGCGATTCTCGAAGCGAACGACCGACATAGATACGAAAGAGTCTGGGGAAAGAAGTTCCCCTGATCGCGGTTAATCCTAGGAAATCGCGGACAAGCGAGAAAAATATTGAAAATAGCTGACCGCGTGGCGCGTTGCTGTATAAAATATGAAAAAAGACATAAACAAACGCCTGTTTACAACGAGTACAATGTAGAGAGGTCCGCGATCGATTAGGCAATCGAACATCCGATGGTCCGCGAGTTCCCTCGTTCCTCGATTATCAGCATTAGAGCCACTATTCAAAGGATAATTGGTAGAAAAATCTCCATCAGTCTTCCGGCTGAAGCTTACGTTAATCATGGAAAATCTTAGGTCCATCATCCGAATACGGATCAGCGCTTAGACGTTAATACTCGGTACCAACGGGAATCGATCGGCGGTGATAATGAAATGCCTCCTAGGTCTACCTAGGAGGAATAAGTCTGGCCGAGATCTGTATTCGTCAGAAGCAAGGAGAATTTAGGGATCTAGATAGAACGAAACCTCGTATGGGAAATCGCTAGACACACAGCTATGTCGAACTACTCAAGCTACTCCTAAATTTAGACATATACGCTGACCAATGCATCGCTGCTCTTGGTATGATATACCATAATGTATGTATATGATTTATTAGTACGCTGAGATGTGATTAATCGTAATCGGTAGAGAGAGAGAGAGAGAGCTGGATCGGTGAAATCTACACAGTTTCCAAAGTGAAACGCAAAAGGGAATGCGGATGACCTCGTCTGACGAGTCCATTGCATGGCCGCGAAAAATACTCATTGAAATACTGACCAAAAAGGAGGAAAAAAAAATCGCGGGGAAGAACGTCGGAAAAGCTAACCGAAAATAGTCGGATACGTTTCGCCGGGAAAGATCTCGCCTTTATCGACGCTTACACGGCGAGTCACGGCAAACAAATTGATTTCCACGTGAATCGCGTTTAATGCCGGTCATCGACGCGTCCATCGCATTTGATAACGTGGTCTCCCTATGCAGATATTAATACCACCAGGGTGACTCACCGTGTATGACGTGCGACCAAAGAATTTCAATGTTTTTCTCGTTTCGCAAGCAACATATCCGACCTTGGGGAAAGCGTGACGATTCCGGCTGATCGAGCTGCCTAATATATATATATATATATCTATATATTTATATATATCTATATATCGGTAATTAATATATTAATATTCATATCCAGACACCTGTTTCTCTCTTTCACGTACATATATATATATATCAATCAGTACATAATGTATATCTCGCTTAGAAAGTCAAATTACCTATGTCATAGATATCCGTAATTCATACTATACAGACAAATCATATATGTCGTAACGTATAAGCTACCGTATTCAAAAGACCCGAGAGAATCAAGGAATTCCCGTTAAAAAAAAAACGACACGCGCCATCACATCTCTTCGACTTACTCAACAGTCTCTGGACTGTATCGATCGTTCCATTAATCCGGATCGCCGAACGAGTTGTCTTATGACAGAAGGTCACGACTGCGGACGCTCTACACAGTTGAAAAATAAGGAATAAGAAAGACCCCCCTCGCCTCGGATAATATGGTCCAGGGTTTGAAGCGCAATTTTTAAGCCCGTTGATCGATATCTCAACCTCTCCCGTTTCTTATGCCTTATACTTACAACTGTACAATACCTCTTCGCGTTTCTTGCACCAAGCGGCGCGTTTCTCCCGCTTCCCCTAGATCACCTCGAAGAACTCTATCCGACCGCATCGAATTGCACTTATCGAAGATGAAAAAAAGAAAAAGAAAGAGAGATGTGAAACGTGAATATTTCAAGCGAGTGCTAGGTATAATAGTATCGAGGGGAAAGACCATTTTTCAAATTTCCCGACCCATCGCGCGGTCGATAGAGAAATCCCGCAAACTCGTAAATAAATGCACGTCGAATGTCCGAGAAGGACCTCGAGCTGACCCGACGCAAACTCGAGGGTTCCATATTAGCGAAGCATTGAAAAAATAAAAATAAAGAAACTCGGAGGAAATGCCAGTGGAATACTTTTATACGCAAATTGCCAATGGTGTAACCCCGTAGACGCGAAGGGCCAGCAAAGCACGAGGGATCGTACAATATTTCCCGACTGAACCGTGACCGCCATGACACCCTGGTTTCTCCGCGTAACTTCCGAAATTAAGAAAAATAAATATACTATCAGGCTTGGCCAGATCCGATGAAATAAAACCAAAGAAAATATATTACCAGAGTCTGATATCAAAGCGCCGTAAAATTATTTACTCGTGATAACTGATCCTCGGGTTAAATTAAATAGGATTGCCGTTGAGCTAGAAAGTGAAACAAAGGCTCAGGTTTCTCTTCAGGGTGTCTTGTCGATGCTTGGTCCGAGTACGAACCCCTTTACTGTTCGGCCTGTTGTTGGATCTCGATTTTCTCGACCTTCATATCGGGGTTCATCGCCGTAGCTTCTTGGATAGCATCAGCTAGCGCCTTATCGTGGTCTATCGGGTCTCCATCCGACTGTATCGTGATTTTCTGTTCCATCCTGGTCTCCACGATGCCGTCCCTCTCCGTCTTGTACTAAAACATAAAAACCGTTGAAAAAACTCCTCCGGCATTTGAGTACCCAAAATCTCTCCTTGCGGCCACAATATCGTTCATTAAGGTGACGTGAAAGTGGCGCCAAATAGGTCTCGTTAATGAAACTTTTCTCCGAACTGGGTGTACCGAATCAATTCAAACTTAACAATGTAAATATGTAGACCCCAAGGAAGGTCCCGACACTCATGAAATTTCAATTAAAGAAAAATCTTTTTTCATAGTTATGTAGAAAATGTTATGTAAAAAAAAAGGGGGAAATTTCGTGTGTGTCAGGACCTTCTTTGTAGCCTCCATGTTCAAGTTGTAAATTTTGGAAGGATTCGTTATACCCAGTTTGTAGAATAATTTCACGAATGATCGACCCTTGGGATGGCACATTCGCATCCCCTTAAATCAAAAAGAGAGTCCCCAACCGTGATAGTCTCGACGGTCCTCGTCTTGCTGGAGATGGTCTGCGAGCTGACGATCTCCCCAGTGGCGCTGTAATTCCCATCTTCGCTCTCCAGGGCGACTTTTCTGCTCTCGGTGGCTACTAACGGCACCGTGGTTGTGGTCGTCACGTTGCTGGCAGGATCTCCGGTGTACACGTGGGTTTCCGTGGCCACGATCCCCGCAGGGTCTCCCTGTAAAAGTAAATCGCTTTTTAGAGGAGTTGGATTCCTTATCCAAAGGCCTCCTAGCTCCTTCTTGAAGGAACCCCCAGGAGAGCCGGCGAGCTTCCCTCACCCGGTGGACAGTCCCAAGGAGAATCGTCACCCTTACCTTCCAGAACCCTAAATCGTCAAGAAACGTGCGCATACACCGTGCCATCGCAAAAACACCGATAATCTCACAATGCATGTTACAGGAGCCACGACAGTCATTCACCGGTTAGTCACAGAAGATGTAACACCGTCGAGTACTCGAAGAAGACCCGTCCACCACGTCGAGTGCCGAAGTTGGACGTATCCGATAACCCTGGATTATCAAAAGGGTCTACAGGGTTGTCTTCTCAAAGACGAGGGGGTACCCCACCTTTCGGCAACTTAGATTACCTTGATTTAATATATACATGATTTAAATGGTTTAATTTAATATAAACACGGTTTAAGGGGGTGTGAAAGTGGCATCCGAGGGGTCGATCGTTCGTGAAACTTTCCTCCAAACTAGGTGTACCGAATCGTTCCAAACTTCACAGCCTTAATGTGAAGGCTATAAGGCAGGCCCTGACACTCATAAAATTTCATTTCTTTTTTTTATAAGAAATTTTAAAAATATCAATATAACAAATTTGGGTAAAAGTTGAAACTTCACAAGTGTCAGGACTTTCCTTGTATCATCCAAATTTGTATTGTAAAGTTTGAGTCGATTCGGTACACCCAGTTTGGAGAAAAGCTTCGTGGACGAGAACTTTGATGCGACTTTCGCATCCCCTTAATAATATAAAAAAAAAGGGTTGCCTCATTTTAGAAAACTTCGGCACTGGACGCTTAATGCTGTCGGACGCAAAGATGTATGTACATACCCAAGAAGTATACACGAGACCAAGGAGAGACGTTAAGAAAGGTAATGGCTAGAGCCATGAAACTGACTTTAATGAATGAACGTGCGTATGCTTTCGTTCAGACGTCATGCTGCCTCGGAGAAGAGTCTTGAGATCCCAGGATTAACAGAAGGGTGGTCTTGGTCGGTGCCAACATCTGGCGGGGTACGTCGTTAAAGGTCTTAGGGATGCAACTCTGCTAATTACCTGGTAATACTGATTGTAGAAGGCCTGGTGCTCGTCGTCGATGTCTATCGGGGTACCCGAATCGCCGCTGCTAGAGCTGGATGTACTGAGCCGCCGTGAGAACAGCTACGCCATGCAACGTGTTAGCCAAGCCGACCAAATATATTCCTAGTCTAATGGAACTAGTCTAGATGAATTAATTAGCGAATCAACGGGACGTCTCATCGAGAGGGACACGTGGCAAGCCGAGTTACTCGAGACACGGCACGGAGATTCGACGATGACTCGTGATTGACACCTTTAGGGGATATGATAGTGGCATCCGAGGAGTAAATCGTTCATGAAACTTCCCTCCAAACTGGGACTGCCGAATCGCTTAAAACTTCACTACATGAATATGGAGGCTATAAGGAAGCTCCCGACACTCATGAAATTTCACTTTTTATACCAAATTCTTTTTTTACATGTCTATGAACAAATGTTTAAACCATTGAAATTTCTCGAGTTTCCAGACCTTACTTACACCCTCCAGGTTTATATTCTAAAGTTCGAATGCATTCGGTACACCCCGTTTGGAGAGCAGTTTCACAAATGAGAACTCATTGACGCCACTTTCACGTCACCTTAAGGGTCATTCTGTACACAACGAAGCGTCGAAATATATTTACACATCTTATCTCCAACCCGGGTACATGGAATCATTTGAAACTTCAGCACGTGATTATGGAGGTCCTAAGGAAGAACGCAACGCTCGTGAAATTTTGTATATGTATAAAAAAAAAAACATGATCTTGGTTCAAGTCTGGGATAAATAAAAAATTTATTTTTTTTGAAAAATGAATTTTCACGACCATCGCGTTCTTCCTTAAAGCCCTTGTGATCACGTACTATAGTTTCAAATGATTCCACAAGCAGATTGTCAAGAAACTTAGGCGTTAATGGTCTCTCCTTGTCAAGACCCTAGAATACGTCTTGAGTGCATCGTCGAGTTATTTACATTTAATGATAATCGTCGGAACTCAGCCTAGCCACGTCCCAGGTGTCTTGCCCATGTCTAGCCTGGTGGTATTAACTTTTTTAATAACACATAAACCGATTAACCTGTCGCCCGATGATGTATGACTAATGGCGGTATTAACAAAGTTATCGATAAACACCAAAACGTCCAAAATGTACGGCAATGTGTTACGAGTGATAGGTGAACACCTTGGCTTTCGTTCTACCCAGCTAAAGAGTTACCATGGGGAGGAATCGTTAAGTGAACTTTACATGTCCCCTTATTTCCCTCTATTTGCTTCTTACGTTTTATCGAAGCTCTTTTCCCTTTCCAGGGCCCACTTCTAGCCGAGTCGTTAACTTCCTCGTTAACCCACGCTTTTCGCACTGATCTATATTCTACCTGGACAGCTGATATCCTACAAACCGGAGTGACGTTTTGAGGCGATCACAGCGCCTCTGGTCAAGGGCACATAAACTAATGTCGTAGTATTTCCTCATGTGTCAAAACGACGGGTCATTCAACCGTAAACAGTATAAGAGATGTCAAATTAATTTACTGAAAGAAAAAAATAAAAGAAATAATTGCCATATTTACATTAAAATACTTACGAGAAAAAACAGATAACCATTTTGTTTTAGTCGAAGCTTTTTTACGGTATGCCCTACGTTTTACCCGTAAATTGCATTCTCTTCTGTCTTTTATACCTTAAATGTATTCTTTCGCGAACTGACGGTTCTAAACTTTTTCGCATGCGCACGCGTTACTTATTTAGTACCGCCGCCCGAATGTAGCTGGCGCTCGGGTGCCTGGAATTCGTCGAAGTCCTCTCCATATGGAATAAATAGGTATCAGCTATCCAGTTAGTATATAGATCAGTGGCTTTTTGTTAAGTATTCGTATATCTAGCCGTGACGAGACAACGTACATATTTACAAGACACAACGGAAATACAGTCAGGCTGGAGGGCGATTTCAGGGTGACTTCGGGTTCTCCAAATTGAGCGAATCAGCCCATAAAATTACCTGCTCCCCGGAGAGGATGTGGCTGGTGGTCTTGACCTCCTGGGTGACGACTCTCTGCTCTTGCCTCGTGGCACTGGTGGCCGTCGTGTGGGCTACCGTCTTCTCTTCGACCTGGGGTTGGGGGAAAAAACGAAAAAAAAGAGAAGTCACTATTTGCAAACAAGCTGTGCCAATTAAATACCCTAAGATGTATCTGTATGTATGCGAACGTTTGGAAATTGCAGTCTCCGTTTCTGCGTTAAAAGTCGTCTCGTCGAGAAAATTCATTCGAGTAATATTAAGCTTAGATATATCTCAAGTTTCTCGGACGATCTGCTTAGTCAAACGAGAATAATCTTTCCCCCTACTAGAAATCATTCGTCACTATTTATCTACCTTAGCAATACACATTCGACAAGGCCGATCAAGACAAGGTCAACCTGGCAAGGACTTCGAAGGAGCTTGAAGCATTCTTACACAGAGTGCAGCTGAATTAGACCCCCGAAACCGAGAAAATAAATCCCAACACTTGCACGCGCCCGTTTCAGCTGCACCCTTTAAGGTGATACGAAAGGGCCATTCTACATACATAAAACGTGAAAATATTAAAACTTTGCTCCAAAGTGGGTGCACCGAATCATTTGAAACGTCAGCACGTGAGATTAAAGAGACTCAGATCGTCACGAAATTTCATTTTTCACAAGGAAAAAAAAAAATAGTGATCTTCTAAATCTAATCTAAAAAAATATTTTTATTTACCCTAGACTAGAACCAAGCAACTCGAGTACATTAGAATACAATTTTTTTTCTTTTTTTCGAGAAATGAAATTTCCCGAGTCTCAAGACCTTCATTAGGACCGGCATGATCACCCGTTAAAGTTTCAAATTCTTCCGTGCGCCCAGCTTGGAGAAAAAGTTATATATTTGTATTTTTTATCATAAATATGAGACGGCACTTTCATAACACCTTAACACATTCGCGACCGGCAAATTTTCTCCGTTTCAAATACTAAGTACCGGCGAAAATAATAAAATTCTTATACTGGTTGCCGCAAACTTGTATCGTGTATCGTGATGGACGTGATTCACGTCAGCGGCAACCAGGAATAGAATTTAAAATGACGTGAATTCACGTCAGCGGCAACCGGGGGGTAGAACTTGAAAAAGACGTGAATGCACGTCAACGGCAATCAGGAATAGAATTTAAAATGACGTGAATTCACGTCAGCGGCAACCGGGAATAGAACTTGAAAGGACGTGAATTCACGTCAGCGGTCGCGAATGTGTTAATACAGAGTTCTCGTGAGAAGGTAACGAATAGAGGAACAAATGATTGTAAGTAGTTGGCAAACAAGTACAGTAACTAAAGGATAATAATGGGGGACAAACCTGACTCGTCTTTTGGTTCTTCTCCAGGTCCTCGAGCATGGTGGCTGTTCGAGTGGTGACAGCGGTGGCTGTCATGTAGGGCGATCTACTGTCATCGGGTGCCTCCGCCTAAATACAACTACTAAGTAACCAACTCTCGTAACAAGAACGACAAGCTGCATGCAATCGACGTGCGACACGTCTCCGAATTCGTCAAAAGCCAAAGGGGGAAAAAAAACAAAAAACAACGACAAATGAACACGACTATCTCAAAAACGAAAGAAAAAAAAAAAACTCGTGCACTACTCGTGCGGGTTTCTTTACAGAGCGACTCAAGGAGGCGATAAATAAAATAGAGATAAAAAAAGATTGATAAGAATAAAGAAAAGGGAGTGCGATACAAGGCAAGTCGCCCAATCGAAAGAATATCATTAAATATCTGTCATTTATCGAGGCGCCTCTTCAGGGTCGAAAATGTCTCGAATGGTCAAATTTTCGGTCGTCACGCGGAGGGTTAGTCTTCTCGGTGAATTTTGTTTCCGATAGTCGTTGTTAGTAAGACTTTCGAAATCGCAGACCCGCAGTTTGTTAATCCGATGTTAGTCGGTGCAAGTTAGAGGGTAATGCCATATGGGAACTTCACGCGTAGCCCAGAACGTTTTCGGGTACTGGAAGTTCTTCCCCAGTAAGGGCGGAATAACGAAACGAAAGGTTCTGGATCCACCCCATGAAGTTCCCAGCCAGGCCCAGTTCTGAAGAAGCCTCCAGAACTTTTCCGCCATAATTTCCCTGGTCTTCACCTTGTTGACCTGAGTGTTGACGGTGACGTTCCCAGTGCCTCCAGGAGTGAGGTCCTCGATCTTCTCCTCGACGTTACCCCTGAGCCCCTCGCCGTCCTTGACGACGGACCTCTTCGTGGTGGTCTTCACGATAGTCGGCGTAGCCGGGGATCCCGCGGGTCTCTTCACCCCAGGGATCCTCATCTTAGCGACCCCCTTAATCTCCTTGATGACCTCGCCCCTTTCCTCGGCATACTCGTCGAGATCGTCATCGTCATCATCTTCGGCGTGCTCTTCGAGTCCTGAAGTCCTGAGGTGACGCAACGCGAACCCAGCTAGGCTCGTTGAACTCATCAGGGCCAGGTCGAAGGTCTTCTCATCGGCAAGATTCCCTTTCGTATTGTGGACCAAGCCGTCCTGGACGAAGTTCCCGTCCTTCCCGATGGTCTTCCCGTTAAGAGGATTCCCGGTTGCGTCGTGTATCCTGCCATTCTGGACGAAGCTGCCATCCGCGCCGAAGGGACCCTGAGCAATCGGTTTCCCATGTTCGTCGCAGATCAGGCCTCTCTTAATGCACGTTATCTTGATGACGGTGTAGTACTTGACCAGCGGCTTCCCGGTGGCCTTATCGTGGACGAGGCCGCCCTTGACGAAATTCCCTTCGGCGTCGAAGAGCCCGGATCCCAGGGGCTTCCCGGTTTTCCTGTCGACGACGAGACCATCGGCGACTTTGACGCCCTCCGGGCCGAAGGTTTCCCTCGTCATCGGTCGTCCATCAGCTTCGTAGAGTCTCCCAGCGCGGACAAATCCACCCTCGGAGGTCGACTCGTGCGACGTCCCTAGAGTAAGAGGGCTACCATCTCGATCGTAGATCAGACCATCCTGAACGAAGCCACCCTGGTAGCCGCCGATTTTCGCAGGCTTCGCGTTCAGCGGCTTCCCATGTCGGTCGTAGACCCTACCGCCGCGGATGACGTTTCCATCCTCGTCGAAGATGCCCGACTCGAGCGGTCTGCCGTCCCTGTCTCTGACCAAGCCCTGTCGAATGTTCGACAGGTTGGAGAGCACCGTGATACCCGTCTTCTTCTCGGTCAGCAGCTTTCCATCCGGTCCATAGATCAAGCCGTCCCTGATGTGCGCCCCCTCGGTACCGAAGGCACCATTCCTCAGCGGCTTGCCATCGCGGCCGAAGATGACTCCACCCTTGACGGAATTCTCCCAAAGGTTGAAGGTACCATGGTCCAGGGGCCTGGTATCTTTCCCAATAAGTCGGCCCTCTTCAAGGTATACACCCGGGGGTAAAGGCGTACCGGCGTTCAGAAGCTGGCCTCCCCAACCGTGCACCAGTCCGTCCCTGATGTAGGATCCGTCAGGAGCGAAGGCTCCTTCCTTCAAAAGGTGTCCCGACCCATCGCGGACCAACCCATTGCCAATGAAGCATCCTTCAGGAACCAAGGCACCCTGGCACCGTGGGTTCCCAGCCTCGTCGACGACCTTCCCATCTTTGAAGGCCAGAGTGTCGGGTCCCCTGGCTTCCTTCGTCAAGGGTCGATCGTCCCTACCAAGGACTAGGCCGTTTTCTATCCTGTTTCCTGCCGGACCGAAGACTCCGTCCTTCAGGATCCTCCCCTCGGCGTCGTGGACCAGACCTCGAGCCACGTAGGACCCATCGGACCCGAAGGGCTCCCTGTCCAAGGGTGTGCCATGGCGGTCATATATCACGCCGTTCGCTACGAAGCAGTCCTTGGGAAGAGCCGGGGCCAGGGTCATCGGTTTCCCATCTCCTCCGAGAACTTTTCCATCCTTGACGTAGCTGCCGTCAGGCCTGAAGAACGCGAACCTCAGGGGCTTGCCGTCCTTACCGTGCACCATGCCCTCCCGGATGGAGACCCCTTCCGGTACCAGGGAGTCCCGGTGCATGGGTTTCCCGTTCTTGTTGCAGACTACACCCTTCTTGATAGAAGCGCCGTTGGAGTCGAAGGTCTCCTGCTTGACGTGCTTGCCATCTCTCCCCAGGACCAAGCCGTCCTTGATCTGGAGACCGTCAGGTCCGAGGTAGCCAACGGTCAGGACAGGACCCTCGACACGCTCGCCGACCATGCCGTCCCTGACGACGGTATCGTCCGGCCTGAAGAGACCCTGATGAAGCGGCTTCTTCCCGCCCTCCGCGAAGAAGACGCCGTCCTTCAGGAACGCGCCGTCTGCGATTCTGGGGATGCGGTTGAGCGGTCTACCGTCCCTCCCGTAGACGATGCCGTCTTTGACGAAGCTGCCGTCTGTTTTGTAGAAGGCGTGTCTCAGAGGCTTGCCGTCCTTTCCGAGGATCTTGCCGTCCTTAGAGTGGACTCCCAAGGGCAGGAGGGAGCCCCTCGTCAGAGGTTTCGAGTCCTTCCCTAGCACGAGGCTATCCTTGATGACGCACCCATCGGAGCCGAAGGCTTCGCTCCTGAGGGGCTTGCCGTCCTTCCCGGAATGCACCTTCCCGTCCAGGATGTAGTTCCCATCAGGGCCCAGGCTTCCACCGGACAGGGGCTTTCCATCGGGTGCACGGATGAGACCATCCAGGATGAAGACGGAGTCCGGCAGGACGGAGATCCGACTAGCCGGTCTGCCGTCGTCGTCGCAGACGAGTCCGCCGACGATGTACCCATCCTTTCCATGGAGCTCGCCGGGATCGACGCGAGTCAGAGGTCGACCGTTCACAAATATCAGACCCTCCTTCAAGAAGGTTCCATCCGCGCCCAGCCTCTCCATGGAGAGCGGCTTTCCGTTCTTTCCGACCACCTTGCCCTCCTTCACCAAGGCTCGTTCCACGCCCAGGAACCTATCATTCAGCGGCTGTCCCGTCGAACCCAAGATCACTCCATTCCTTATAGAAAGACCCTCCGTCCCCAGGGAGTCCTGGTTCCACGGTTTCCCATCCTTCCCAGTGATGATCCCTTCACTGACGTGCACGCCATGTGGACCAAACTCCGCCTTCTTCATCGGATGCCCCTCTTTACCGCAGACTTTCCCACCCACTATAAGGGCTCCGTCCGGACCCAAGCTACTCTGCTCTAGGAGTTTACCCTCCTTCGAGTAGATAGCCCCTGCGATTATCTTGCAGCCATCCGGCAGCGGCAGAACGCGGAAGGGCTCGGCTTCCTCCTTCCCAGCGACACCAGCAACGACAGCGCCACCAGCTACGTTAGCGCCAGCGTGGCCACCGACGACACTAATCGGTGCCGCGGCGCTGGCGAGAACGGCGAGCGATTCCGGTTTTTTACTCTGAGGAGGTGGCGGAGGAGCAGCGACAGGTGCAACCGGAGGAGCTGCAGGAGCCGGGGGAGCAGCTGCACCAGCGGTAGCCTTCTGCTTCTCCTTCAAGGCTGCAGACTCCACGTAGTCGATCCCAGGGGTCCTGAGGCCGGTCGGCTTACCGGAGGGGTCCTTCGCTTTGCGCTTTTCCGCGGACTCCACTAATTTCTTCTCCTCCCCTGGGGCGTAGTTGAAGGCCAACCCCGTCGCCTTCTTCCCGGTCGGGGAACCCGCCGGGGATATCCTCCCTGTCGTCGCCCCCGCGGATGCCGGGCCATCCTCGTAGGAGAACCCATGCTGGGTGACGGGTTTCTTCGGGGCCGACTGCTCGGTTTCCTCGTAGTCGTAGGGCTTCGTGTACCCTGCCATCTTCTTCGTCTCCGGTTCGCGTCCCTTCTCCACCTTAGACGGGTCTTCCGGGCTCGAGGCGAGCTTCTCCGTCAGCGGGATACCAACTGCCTCCTCGCTCTTCCGGCCTCCCGAGGACTCGTCCTGGTCCTTGCTCTTCCTCTGTTTCTGCCGCTTCGAGTCCTTGTCCCGCTTGCCGAACAGGAAGCCACCGACCGGACTCTTTTTCACGGTAAACAAGGACACATGCAAGAAAAAAACACAAAGTACAGTAACGGGCAAAATAGCCGCCACGTTGTTTTCCTCTCATTTATTGGAGTCAAATTTCAAAACCTATTTTTTTATTATTATTATTATTTTTTTTTTTTTAACCAACGTTTCAAGGTTTTGGAGTTTGACCAGGCGGTAAATATTTTGCCCGCTGCTGCGTTGGGGCTCACACTTTACGCCAACGTCTCAAAGAAACGAAATGATATCAAGAGAAAAAAAAAAGGTGGAAATAAAGAGAGAAATTAATGATCTCTAGGAGCCAGACATTTTCCCCAGCCTTCAGGAAGGACACTTCGCAGGCAGGTCCGAGGTGGAGGAGCGAGCCATTCCGCAGGCGGGGTTTCCTCTCTAGGTGCATCGCGCCGGTCCTTACCTTGGACTTGTCCTTGTCCTTCTCCCGTTTCTCGGGGCTCTCCTTGTCCTTGCTCTTAGGCTCTACATCCCGTTTACCGGAGTGCTCCTTCTCGGAGCCGGGGTCGGCGTTGCTCAGCTCCAGCCGATTCTCCTTCTCGTTCTCGTCCTTCCTCTTGGTGAGACCGCCGGGCGGTAGGACCGCGATCCCGCCGACAGGTTTCGACGGTTTCTATAAGTAAATCGACACGACAAATCGACCACAAGTCGGAAAGAGGAGACGGAGAACGAGGCAGGTGTCAAAGGGGAACCAGGAGCAAATTTCGCTGGTTCCGGAACCTGGGAACGAATTTCGCCGGTTCCAGAACTCGGGAGTGAAATTTCGCTGGTACCGGGACTTGGTAACGAATTTCGCTATTTTCAAAACCCGGAACTGAATTTAGCTAATATCGTAATTCGAGGGTAAAATTTCACCGGTTCCAGAACTCGGGAGCACATTTCATCGGTTCCAGAATCCGGAAAAAACGTTCCAGAAACCGAACCGAGGAAAGTGGAACTCGCGCGTCCCCGGCCCTTCCTTTGCTCGGCTCGTTGGCTTACCTCTGCCCGTTCACCGAGCCACTCTCATCCGAGTTGCCTGTACCTACCGTACCGTTACCTTCGTACCGTGGGTAAATATCCGCGGTAACCGATAAAAAGCAAGAGATAAATCAAAAGGAAACGCTGAGGGCAAGGTTGAAACGTCGAACGACCGCTCTTCCCTATACGTGAATTTCTCAAGCCGGTAAAAGCCAATCCCCTGCGTCATCCCTCACGGCCATCTCTTGGGGACGGTAAGACAAACACATTTCTGATGTCATTGTATACAAACAACAGGGGGGAGAGGGGGATACTAATCAAGCAAAAATGCCCCTAGCCAGCAGTCTCGACGTTTCGATATTATCTTGCTATTTTTTTTCTTCTTCTTCTGTATCATTTAACAGGATGAACCGGTGACACCCAATAGGCACAATCATACCAAGTACTTCAGGCTTTCCTTTTCTTTTCTCCGCTCGTCCGTCATCGTTTCCAAAAGTCGTAGCAAAAATTCGAACGAGACAAGCAATCACGAGGTAACCATCGAAACGCCAGAGAGCATGCAACCGGCGAGGATGGAGGAAAGAGGGAAAAGGTGAACAGAAGAGACCAGAGAGCGGTCGAAAAAGCTAATCGCTCGCGGTACTATCTACTGATTAGTGCAGCGGGACACAGCGAATTACAAGACAACTTCAAGGCACTGTCAAGGCACTTTGAAAACACGACACGACTGTGTGAATTCTTCTGTACCTTTTTGCCACGATCGGCGTCGTACTCTCCTTCCAGGCTACTGGTACTGCTAGCGGATGTCGTTCCAGCGCTTGTTTTTCGTGTCAGCTATCGGTGTTAGTTACGATTAATTTTCCTCGCCAGAGCTCTACGGGTCGAATCCGGCGAACGATAGAAAAACGACAAAAAGGAAAGAGAGAAAAAAAAGAAGAGGGGAAGTAAGTCCCGAACAAATCTAGCTACTAAACGGAACGGAAAGTATAAATTACGAGTAGAAAAGATGAAAATAAAAAACGGGAAAAATTAAACGAGTCCGTTTGGACGGCTACAAATAATTGTCAAAAATCATCCGACCAACCGGGAACTCGTTCTCGAGCTGTACGAGGATATAAGTGGATTGTCTATTAAATAAATCTACGAGCAATCTCGAGCGCAACGAAACCCAGGAACCAAATTCACGTACTAACGAGCCAGTGAGCTATTTCTCTAAACGACCTGACTTTAGGATCCGTGAGACTCGTCTTCGATTATTTCGCGATCGACGAGTCGACGAGGTCAACAAAAGTCGCTGATCGGTGCACACCTTGGTTGCGTCTAACTCTATGACGTCTACGATACGTATCTATGGGTTTCCGTAAACACCGTGCCGTGGTAACTTTAGGGCCGAGCTATCTCGCCACCGAGCACTTGGATCCAACTCGAAAAAGAAGAAGAGATACACCGTCTAAGAAGCACTCTCTAATCCGACACCGAGTGAAACACGGTGTCTCCCTAAAAAAGCAGGCATATCGTGTAACGCAATCAGTGCAAACAGACATCAGAAACGGGGCCCGACCTTTTAATCGAAACCGAGTCGTTCACTTGGCGTATCTCTCCCCGAAAACGAAATCATACACCGACTAGATTCCTACGAGCGTGCCTGCTTTACATCTCCCAAGCAATAAGACTCAATAAATAAATAAATAAAATAGAAAACGAAAGGCACGTTAGTGACACTCGAATTACTGTTCGCAAGCAATGTGAACGAGTTACAGCCGAATCGCCTCCATCAGAGGTGATCGCTCCAAGGCAATTGTTAAAAGTTAAAACCGATTAGACACGGACACATAAAAGCAACACGGACGAGTTAGTCCTCTCGCTTACGCGTTAACACGGGACGAGGCACAAGTACCGAAAAGAAAGACAAAATAACCGGCCCCGTATCTTAAATCTACGTATTGAACGATTCCCTGGCAAACAACGGGTCTGTAGAAAAAAATATGAAATAATAAAGAAACTCGCGAATCGTTACGCGGCCCGGGGGCCACGCAAGGACGCGGAAACCCGAGGATCGTCACGACCACCTCGAGTGGGTATTTTCGTGATGCAGCTCGAGAGAAACTCATGCACTTCGGGCTGCACCTCCGTGAGATGGACCAGGAGGCAAGCCGCTCTCTCACCTTTTCCTTTTGCTTTTTGATGGGACTTGGTCGTTGGTCGATGTGCTCCATGTTGGAGATGATCTCCGGCTCGTAGCTGAACGTGTGCCTCTTGTTGGGCTCGGAGCCGTAGGACTCGACTGGTCTAGGACCACCTAGAGCTGCACAGAAAGGCGCTGATTTTAATTCCATTGTATAGCAGAGAAGCATCGCACTGTCGAAGACTCGATAAGGCACTTGTGGTGTCGTCACTTTCAGTTTGGCGAACGCGATCCCGTACATTATCGTCCCGCCTGATTTTTGCGCAACTTACTAGTAAAACACGAGTACCCCCCAATTATCGCACTAAGGCATATAAAACAGGGAACGCATTTTTACCGTCCATGCTTCGGGACGTGAGTCGCCGGCCACTGAGAGACCTCTCGAACTGAGGCGGTTGCCGGTCGATCGGTATCTTCTTCGTCTCGTAGTGCGTTCTGCCGGAATACCGGAAACGCGATCCCAGAGGCGGAAGCAGGCCGACTTTCTTCACCGGCTCCGGACTCTTGAGCCTGGGGGTCAACGGGAAACGACGATACGATTAGTGACATAATTAAATCACCAGGGCGAGAAATCCGAGGGCAGCAGGACCCTTCTCCCGCGAGTTAAGGTGATAACAAAAGGATTACTCCTCATATGTATGTATCAAAACGTGAAAATACTTACAAAATCTTTCTGCAAGCTGAGTGCACCGAATAATCTAACACGCGATTATGGAAGTCCCAGTGAAGGTCTCGAAACTCACGAAATTTCAATTATCGAAAAGAATTCCTTTCTTTGGTTCTTGTTCGGGATACTTTTTTTTTTTTAATTCAAATTTCGCGAGTTTCAAGACCTTCATCGGGACCTCCACCATCACGTGTTGAAGTTTCAAATTATTCGGTGCACCTAGTTTGGAGAAAAGTTTTATAAATATCTTGACGTTTCGATGGGGACACATTCGTAAGACCTTAAGACTAGAGATCCAATCTCTCGGTACCTGAAGAAAGTGTGATGCTCGACGCAGACCTTCCACAGCTTCTTGGCGGCTCTGTGGTTGGCCAGCTTGAAGCCGATGGTCGACTCGAATTGCTCGAACTCGCCCGGTCTGATCTTGATATAAAAGTTGTGCCTCTTATAGGAGATCTTCAAGATCTTCGGCCAAGCGAAGCGGTTCATCCTCAGCCGGTCCCTGTACACCAGGAGACCCGAGGAGCACACGCCCAACATAATGTCGACGCCTTCCGAATCCTTGGCCGGATGGAAGTCGACGCCGTACATCGCCAGCTTTTTCGCGTTCTCTAGGTAGTGGAGTTCCGCCTCCGCCGGGGTCTGGCCTCTGAAAAAGTAATCATCTCCTTGTGAAGAGCACCGAAAACCCACGTAGACATTATACGAGTACTTTCGCTAAGCCAAACGAGCCTTACTTGTGGGTCTTGTGGAGATCCATGACCTTCTCCACGAGCTCGGGGGTCTGATCGGGAGCGAATTTGAAATCCTTGAGATAGGTCTTGCCATGTTCCTCGGGATCGTAGTCCCCGACTTCCGACTGGACTAGATAAGACCCCAGCAGTGCATGAGTCACGAACGAGCACGGCAAACGGCCAGTAATTATGTCGTTTCGAATTTGCAGGCAAAGCTGATAGCGAGTAATGTCCTCTTGAAGCTGGGCCGGATCCGGGGGATAGAACTTCACTTCGAAGTTGAACTTCCAAGGCTCGTCTGAAAGAGAGATAAAGGACGGTTTAACGAATATCTCCACCCGAGACTCACCCAAGCGGGTCATCGTACTTTTAACGAATTTCGCGATCCTCTTGTCCAGGTCGAGCCAGTTCCTCGAGTCGTGCCTGTCCTCGTAGATGAGCCCAAAGTAGTCCTTCTCCAGCAGGTTCATACTCTGGCATATCTTGTCGAGGAGCTCCTGGCCCTTCGCCTTCCTCTGCAAGAAGGGAACCGAGGTAGACTATTGCTCCTAAAGAATTTGTTTACTAAATGTCCTCCTATTGAGATGAACCGACGGACACGCTTACGTCGATGGTGAAGTCTTTGACGGTGCCATCGAGCAAGGTAATCTTGACGAGGGCCGTTTTTCCTTTTGCGACCGGGCTCTTGTTGGGCGAGCCTCCGGTGCCGGTTCCATTTTCAGCGACCGTGACCACCACCTTCCGTTCCTGTTCCTGGTCCTGGCCCTGGCTGTGTTCCTGTTCCTCCGGCATGGCGAGGCCCGCTGCCTGAAAAAAAAAAAAAAAAATACCACCGAGCCAGCGTTTACTATAATTCTATTTATTAAGAAATAAATATTTCTCGAACTGATGTGCCGAATTTTGGCGATAAGCGTTCGGTGGGCCTTTTAATATATTTCGCGCAAAACTTTTACCGAGTTTCCTGGTATTCGCGTCGAGGGACAATTTCACTCAGGAAATCATGGATTTTAATACTGAAAATCGGCTGGAAATCGTTGGAAAACGCATTCTCCCAATTTTAAGGTCGAACTCGTCACTTGTTACCGAACCTCATTGTTCATCATATGAAATCAAAGGCCCTCCACTCGCGTTCATTCTCTCGTTTCCGATTACACAATTACTCCACCCCGAGAAATAAAAATTCATTAAACCAATGAGAAATATATATTTCTCCGACAAGCACCAAAGAAATATCCCGTTGATTCGAAGAATAATTATTTAGCTCAAATAAACTCAAATAAATTGTCACAAATCCGAGAAAAAAAAAAAGAAAAATGTTCCGTCCAATTTATTCAACTTTATTAGAATCGAATGGTTATTTTTGGAATTAACAAAATATTTCTCTGGTTCGTCGACGTTTTGTCACTCAGTCCAGAAACGAGGAGATACCCCCCAGAGTTTATCCAAGTACAATGGATATTTATCAACTAAAAATAGAAGGTTCACGTCCGCCATCTTGCCCAGATGCGCCTCATCCTTTCGCGAGAGCGATGCAACCTCCTCGGCTAAACATTTACATACCAAAAGCTTCCACGCCACGGTTTCGCACACAGATCTACGTGTGAACACCCACGTAGGACAAATTACGTGACCGGGATCGGTATGGAAATGTCGATTACAAAAGATACCGTTCTAAAGCCGGCGCCCAACGCAACCGAAGTCGTCACGAAACGATCCGATGGATGTACCAAGCTCTCGCAAACAAGAAAGATCGATCAAACTTCCGATATAGGTTTCATCAGCGGACGAACATTACGGATATCGGATAGAAAATATTCCGCGTTAAATCTCGCCCAATCGTTGGGATTAATATCAGGCGCCTCTTTCTTTCCTCCCATGCAGAAAAATAATTATCAGTCGTAACATTTCGCCTTCACTTGCTTCGGTAAACGTAAACCACTTGAAAATGAGCCGGTAAATTTTTTTTTTATTCAAGAAGAAACGCTTAGGTGGAATTAACCCCCCCAAAAAAACCATCACTTCATTAGGGCCTCACAAATTCTATTCATGGCTACAATATTCTTCATTAGTTACAAAAAATTGTACATCGTCCATAAGATCGGAGAGAAACGACGATATCGTTTGACAGATGCTACAAATTCAATTGTTAGTCTGACAAGCATTTATTTCTAAAGAAAATACCCCTACGACTACATCTACGTTCGATGCATATGCATTTTGGCTGTCGGTGCAATTATTGCTTCAGCAAGAGCGAAACTTTTATCAGCGATATGCTTGACTGAGAAAGAAAGATTCCATTCAACGGTACCTAAGAAATTGATTGTTACTATTGAAATTTCATTTTTTTTTTTTCGAAAGAAAAAAAAGTCTTTTGGTTCTTGTCCGAAATGAATAGAAATTTTCGGTAGAAAAGTGAAATTTCACGAGCATCGCGTTCTTCCCTTAGGGCCTTCATAATCCGGTGTTGAAGTTTCAAATGATTCGGTGCATCTAGATTGGAGAAAAGTTTTATAAATATTTCGACGTTTATATATATATAAACCCTTTCATATCACCTTAATCTCTAGAAGCCTGAAAACGAATACCGAGGTACTCGCCAAGGAAATAGCACCTAACCTCCATTTGCGCTCGTAAAACTAGCCGCGCGGATAACGCGTGCACAGCGTTTACACGGCGGTGTATCCGCGAAGGGTCGTTCACCAAGCCTACAGGTATTCAGGATTGTGCAGTGACGCGTTATTCGAGGTTTTTTACGTAAAATACTTAAGAGAAGTATTTTACATAAAGTCCAAGTAAAATACCTAATAACGTACACGACAAAGACGTCGGTACTGTAACCTCACTTTTTCAAAGTGGTCATAGTACACATCACGTGTTATTAAACCTTTCAGTTACAAAAAAAATAAATAAATAAAGAATAATGGCAAGGATGAGCAAACCATTGAAAAAATCTAGGCTTCAACATTCAATTTTGAATTGCAAGCGCATCAGGAATAGAAACCGCAGAAACACAAAGGTCCCGCGTTCGAGTAAATCACATCGCGTATGAAATTTCGAAAGTAAAATACCTAGTAATTTACTTAAAATAAAAAAATATACATAAATGTGTAAATTACCTAGGGTATTTTACTCACCCAACCATACAGGTATTCCCGGCGCATCGGTGAGTTAACAATAAGTAGTGGTCGAGTGGACTCAAAGTGGTCGCCTAAATGGACTCGACGAGCATTTACTCCCCTAGGTATTTTACATACACTAGTGCTCGTATAGAATTTTTTTTTTTTCGCAGTACGGAGGATAATAACTCGAGTGCGTGGGTCGAGGCGAAGCGGCCGTGGCACTGACCCCGGAAGGTCCCCCACAGCGCTTGGGGCTCGCGGAAAATCATTCGCCGTTCCTGGAATATAATCGCAGCCGGGAGGAGCAAGGCCAGCCTCGACGACTCGACCGGCCAAATTGGAACCCCCTGACCCTATTGACTCCAATGACGCCAATCTAGCCGCTCTTATGACCGATATTTTCATCGCCGAAAGTCCCGGGCGCGGCTCGCGAATGATTAATGGCCGCGGTGTATATGTACAGTGGCGGACATGAACGCCACCCCTACAGATACGGCATCGCGTGTGCAGGACGGGAGGGCATTGATGTCTCCCAGTGTACCGGGCATGCATTCCAGAGCGATCCCCCCCGATCGAAGTATCTACTACTATTAATATGATTTAATTACTCTACACCAACTTTTCTGTTTTCTACTCCGTTTTATTCCTGAAATACTATATATATAACTGACTATAAGACAATGACAATGGATCTAATTATTTTACTACAAAAAAATCTGTCTACTTCTCCCTGTACGGAAATACACTTATAGTTACGTTTGCATAAGTGGAACGCTCCTCAATTCAGTCGACTCGAGTAAGACACTTATTTTTAATTTTATTACGGGAAATTACCCAACCCTGTTTTGGATGCACAAATCGGGATTTGGGATGGTGGGAATTAGACCGGCCGCCGTATACGCGATTCCGTTCGCACGATACATTGTTGTACATGGTCCGATACAATATGGGTATTTAAAAAAATCTTGTCATAATTGAACACGTCGATTTCGATACCAGAAAAAAAAAAAATCGGGAAATTACCTAACCCTATTTTGGATGCACAAATCTGGATTTGGGATGGTGGGAATTAGACCGGCCGCCGTATACGCGATTCCGTTCGCGCGATACATTGTTGTACATGGTCCGATACACCCGGAACGGTTGTTTGCCGGAAGCGAAGACGCGGGCGCCGCTTGTCCACGGACGCAGAAAATTCTCGCAAACGGGAGGACCTAGTGGCCCGACGGGCGATTTTCGATTAGCCTCCGTTTCCAGGAGCTATTTCCTCGCCCGAATCGCCGGCGAATGGATCGTAAACCTCCGTTCGATATTCCCCGGCGATGGCGGCCAAACGTCGGCGAATGTTTTCGAAAACAATTTATCGGTAATGCCCCGTACGGTTGGATATACCGGGCCGTAAGGTTAGCTCTTCGAAAGGACGTCTGGATTTAGCGGTGACGACATTCTGCCGATTGGAAATAAACCGTCTCGTTAGGCCCGAGTGCCGTTAAGCCTCTTCTCTCCTCGGGATGCGACGCGTCTTCCCGCGGACGCTGGCTGGACAATTTCACGTGACCCTTCTAAAAGTTTCTCTTCGAGATCGCTAAAACGCCCTCAGAGATACTCGTTTACGCTAACAAAGAATCACAGAAGCGCGAGGATATACAAAACCGGGAAATGATCGTCCTATAGACCGGCCGATCGGGGACGCGATACCCTCCAGTCTGCGCTTCAAGGTTAAGGTGAAACACGCCGAGGAACTAGATATCAACGTAGGGTAAAAGAGATTTTTCCAAATACCCTACGTTGCCGAGTTTCGTTTTTATATCGACTGCTGTGTCGAATTATATTGGGTATTGTACCAAATGGCATACTCCACCGTGGTAAAAGAAGTAAAATTCGAGAAATCCTCTGGATTCGTGCTTTTCGAGGCCTTAATTAACTGCCGAGTGACCCCCTGGGCCATCTGTGATTTCCGTGCCAACTAAATTTTAACTCCGAGACCAAAGTGATCTGAATTATCGTACAATTCTCCTGACACTTTCGTTTCTCATATTAGAGCCTTCAATAATTCTACATCGATCGAAATGTGAGAGCTCGACGCCATTTTGGTTCTGGTCTGAATTCAGTTAAGAAATTTCTTACAAAAGTCCACATTTTTAAAGTGTCAGGATAATTCCTAGTCGCTCACGAATCATGTATCAAAGTTCGGACAGTTCTATCCAATACCCTTAACCCATTTGCATCATAAGGAAGTATGAAAAAAGGGTCCTTATCACATCTCAAATTTCAGGCTGAATGATAGTGGCCAGCAAAATTGAGCGCATATATATGCTAATGATGCAAATGGGTTAAAGGGAAAAAAAAAAGAAAAAAAAATAGGGAAAAGTCACCTTAAGGTTCAAATCAGTCGATTCGAGTAAGACACTTTTTTAAGGGCATTGGGGGGGCGCCCTTGATCCCTGGAATTAAACGAACATTTATTTGAAAACTAGTCCTAAGTTTTCCGGGATTCCAGTCTCGAATCATTTCGCGAATTGACCTCGAGATCGGCGTCGATCCGAGTGCCTACTGATCGCTGTTTCCGGTCCGAGCCCGGAAGTCGATGCCGGTGGCGGTGCCATCGAGGGGGTGACCCGATTCCACGCAATCCTCGCAATTGTCACCGCCGAACGGCGCCCGATTACGTAAACGGCTGCGTTCACGCCGAGCCACCTCGAGAGAGCGAGACACGGTGGAGGATCTGACTCACGGCCTCCTCTTTCGAGCGTGTCCGCGTAATCGTATCACGGTCGCGCACCGCTCCCGGACCGGGTGTGTACCCGGTTTTCAGATAATTCCACGCCGGATAACCTTCGCGGAGGCGACGAAAGGTCGGCCTTAGCGCCGCGACGCATCGACTACGGCACGCAAGGAAGGTATCCCAGATCGATCTCTCCGATTTGATATCTTTTATAATATGTTATAGTAGATTAAAAACTAAGCGACACGTATTTTTTCTTATCTGCCATTAAACACTTTAAGGGGGTGAAACCACCATCCAAAGTAAAGCACGTCAAGGGGCGATTTGGCAGTTTCACCCACAAGAACATAATATTTTTTTAACCAATCCACCTGGAAAAGCTTATTCATAACGAGAATTGAAAAATATAATTATCTCAAAAAAAAAAAAGCTAAGAGGTGAGCCACCCCTCAGGCCTATAGTGGCTTCCAGATGACCATTTTTTTTTTTTTTAACGAAGCACCACTAAAGTGGCCCTCTTTATTCCCATGTATTAAAAGCGACAAATGAGTATCGTATTCATATAAAATATTAGGCCGAGCTCTACGTATAGGCAGTACATCTCCGCGTCCTACTCCGCCGTAATTAAGGGGTTAACCCTGTTTGGCATTAAATTTCAAATTGGATTTGCATTTCTTTTTTCCTCCTATCTAGAAATAAAAGGGCGTAATGTACTTTACGCTCGCGTAGAAAACTATGGACGTATTATACATTGTAATATAGACGTAGGAAACCATGTGAATTACGTGACGTATTGTACCCACCCAACCCCGCCTCGAGAGGGACGGCAATAATATGGCGAAACCCAGCGGGATCGTTAATTAACCGGGAAAAACAAACGTTCGAGAAATAGGCGAAGGAAACCGCGAGAAACTGTCGGTAAAAGCTCGACCCGGTGATTTCTCGGAATCGGTCGCCGAGGCGGGGAGACTTTCACGTCGCCCTAACCTCACTTTGGCTCGCGACCGAGTAACCGAATACATCGCGGCGTTAGGTGTTAAGTTTTAAAACCGACATATCGTCCCGCGCGTATCGCTGCAACGTCCCGATCGTTCCCTATCCCTCTCTTTCTTTCTTTCTTTCTTTTTTTCTATTTGCAGTCGCGGGACAAATAGGTTTTCGGCTCGCGCCAAAGGCGCGCCCCCTGCCGCAATGCGGGGGACCAATAGCGCGCTTCTTTCTCCTCGCGCTTGTCGACGCCTATGGGCTGGACGCGAAGGCCCTATCTAGGTTTTCCGAAACCCCCGATTTCTCGCCCTCTGGATCGGCAGCGACATGCAAGCTTTACAGGATTGGGTAAGTAAAATACCAGAGGTAATTTACATAGTTTCTTTCGCAGCAAATTACTAGGTATTTTACATAACAAATTTCATACGTTATGCAAATTACACGAATAGTAATTGTTACGTGTTTACATGTGCGCTAAAAGACGTTTATAATTTATACCCTAGCGCATACGTATATCATGCATCCGCCATATTTGAAAGCGTAAAATTCTAAAGAATTTTGAACACAAGCGCCAAATTCAATTTGCTATTCATAGAAAATATTTACGTGTTTAAACGTGTGCTAAAAGACGTTTATAATTTAGCGGATGTCATGTATCGTCAATCTTCGGCATCCGCCGCATTGAAAACGTAATTTATTGCTTTTCTACAAGTTTTTATGGGTAAACTACTTTGTTTACGGAATGTACGTTGAAAAGGTCGAAAAATGCGTAATTACCACACTCTACTGCAACAATGTCATATAGCTGACACGCAAAAAAAAAACGGATCGCTCTGCGTCGCGCCGACGTTCACTCGTCGACTGGCTGAAGTCACGTCTTTTTAGAGCCGATAACAGGATTTTAAAGCCGGCGCCTAATCAATGTACTATTCTTAGAAATTATTTACGTGTTTAAAACATGTATTAAAAGACGTTTATGATCTAGCGGATGCCGTAAATAGTCGATCTTCGGCATCCGCCGATACACGGTATATTTCCGAGAACGTAATTTACTGCTTTTCTGCAAGTTTCTACAGGCAAACCACGTGGTCTAATATACGTCAAAAACCTCGAAAAACGCGTAGTTACCCAACCCTGCTGCAACAATGTCATATCGCTGGCTCGCAATAAAAAAAGGGATCGCTTTGCGTCGCGCCGACGTTCACTCGTCGATTGGCTGAAGTCACGTCTTTTTAGAGACGGTGACAGAACGCGCTTAAAGAATCCACGCCTATTTTTCGCGTTTCTACAGATAATGGCAGCGAATCGTCGTTTCGCATTATCTTTTATATTCTTTTCCGTTCACGTGATTAATTCTATGGGAGTCGAACATCCACGCGAGGGACGAATTATGTAAGCTGTATTTCCGATCGTGAATCGTCGTTTCGCGTGTCGGATCGAACTCCTTCCGGTTCCGTCGGACGCGAGACGAGCCCATGTTCGCCGATTAAATTACAGATCTTTTTTTTTTTCCCCGACCTCCCTCCACCCTGGTGACACAAGCCGCGACATGGCGTTCTCTCGTGGGCTCTTTCAAGCGATGCCCACTTGAGGGAATATAAAAGAGCGGAGAGAGCACCAGACGGTCTCTCGTGGTAACGCGAAATCGATCCGAGCGAATTACAGGGGAAACAACGACGAATTCGAGCAATATAAAAAGTAGTCCACCGTCAATGCGTGCCTTTTCGACAGCACGCGAAGCTCGGATCGCTCGATAACGCGGCAGTTGCTTACACATTTAAGAAGACCTTCCGATCGACTAGAAATGGCAGATTTAATAACGTGGTTGGGTTACATCGCTCTACCTAATTTGTCTAAAATTTCCCAGCGAGTGGATAGTTCCCTGAATCGTGTTTCTTCGATGCAGTCGAACTGTTCACCACTGACGACGGTCCTAAGGTAAACTGCTAACAATCGTATCCGATGAAACGTCTTCTAACGCATAGGCACACGTAGGGTAGCTCTACACCTCCGGTCCGACATCAAAGACGTTATCGACGGTACAAAAGTTTCGAAGCAGCGGATAAATGTTTCATCCCTAACTCAGTAATTCTTGCAAATCTGCCAGACTCCTACTAGACGTAAATGCTTTCTGGGTCAATGCAGGGTACCTTAGTCAACGCGTGCAGTCGACCCTTTCCTCCCACCCTGGAAGTGTCTCTGTGTATCTACACCAAGAAGGTAAACAAATTAAATTAAGAAACAAACACTTTTTCAGCCGCAAAGGAGAAGTGTACCAGACAAGTCGATCCGACCATAAACGACGTAGGGTACATTCAAGCCAAAGAAATACCATTATGGCTCAAGGTGTACCCAGAAGCCCGGTCTTTCGACATCGACGTACTCGAGGCGGCGGATCGGAATGACATCTGCGCGATCTCGGGCTAATGCCACGGAGACGCTTCCTAACCCCACTGCGGGCGGAAAGGTGTCGACGCGGAAAAGCGAAGCCACTCTTCGGGCGCGTCGCAGCCGCCGCGACCTTAATCCCGTTAATGCGAGACATTCTGGCCGGGAAGGGCCAGACCCAGATAAAGGAAAGCGTGGTAAACGCGACTCGAACTCTCACCTTAGGACGTAGAGGCGAAATCCATTAAACGGCACGAACGCCGCCGTTGCGTCGCTTTCTTTCTCTCTCGCTCTCCCGCTCCCCTTGGTTGTGGCAGTCGACGCGCTTCGGAACTCGCAATCCGTCAATTCCTTTCGAGTCTTCTCCAGAGCTCCTGGACAACTGGGCAGGGCACGTAAACCTCTCCGTAAACGCGCACGAACGTGTCTCGCGTACCGAACTAGCACAACTAGCGCGAGCGAACCGGGAGGGGCACGCTCGGCGATACTCGATGACGAATCGGGGAATCGGTCTCGACTTGCGTCGGTTCAAGGCAAGCGACTCACTGGTCAACTCGACTACTGGAACCGTTGAGATCGTCGCGTCGCCATCTTGCGGTGGGCGCGTAAACTTGCTAATCGAGAGAAAAATCGTCGCTGCGTCGTGAGCATCTTCATGGACGGTCCGTTTCTTTTCGATTAACCTTCTCAAAAGCTCTCAGATACATCAAAACGAGAAATGGCCACCTCGAAAACTACAAATACGTATAACAGGCAGAATTGGGAGGACGCGGTGAGTTATTATTTATTTTCTACGTTGGAAAGATGCTGGAAATAATTCGTCCTCTATTTTTTATAATATTCCTTGAATTTCAGGAGTTTCCCATATTATGTCAAACATGCCTTGGAGATAATCCGTATATTCGTATGGTAAGTTAAGAGTTTGAGGAGATTCGTAATTTTTGCGTACTTTAGTCTTGAATGTTTAATTAGTTTTCTAGTCTGGAGAGAAATTTAACGAGTGCTATGTTGGGTTCATTACGTGGACTAGGTTAGGTTTATGATGCTCACCACTTGTATCACCGATGCAATCGTTCACTAATCAATTTTATTCATTTCAGACGAAAGAAAGGTATGGTAAAGAGTGCAAGATTTGTATGCGGCCTTTCACAGTGTTCAGATGGTGTCCCGGTGCACGTATGCGTTTCAAAAAAACCGAAGTATGTCAAACTTGCAGCCGTTTAAAAAATGTTTGTCAGACGTGTTTGTTGGATTTGGAATATGGCCTTCCTATTCAAGTACGCGATGCCGCACTTAAAATTAAAGATGATTTGCCAAGATCTGATGTAAACAAAGAATATTATGTACAAAATATCGATAATGAAATTGGGAAGCTAGATGTAACGACCCCAGCTGGAGCAGTGGGAAAGTCAGCGGCAGCGAGTGATTTACTGATGAAGCTAGCAAGAACGAGTCCATACTATAAGCGTAACAGACCACATATCTGTTCGTTCTGGGTTAAAGGCGAATGTAAAAGAGGGGAAGAATGTCCGTATCGTCACGAGAAACCAACAGATCCAGACGATCCGTTGGCTGATCAAAATATTAAGGATCGTTACTATGGAGTAAATGATCCTGTAGCTGATAAATTAATGCGCAGAGCAGCTGCAATGCCAAAGCTGGATCCTCCAGAAGACAAATCCATCACGACTTTATACATCGGAAACTTGGGAGATGTATTAACCGAAAAGCAATTGCGGGACCACTTTTATCAGTATGGTGAAATTCGTTCAGTGACAATGGTACCAAGACAACAATGTGCATTTATTCAGTACACACAAAGAAGTGCCGCCGAAGCTGCAGCTGAGAGGACATTTAACAAGTTGATCTTAGGTGGAAGAAGATTGACCATTAAATGGGGCCGTTCCCAGGGTCGGCAAACAGTGTCCGCAGCAGAAGCAACGAGAGAAATGCTAGAACCAGTTCCAGGATTACCTGGAGCATTGCCACCTCCTCCAGAGAGTATGGGAAACAATTTCTTTAATTTGCAAGCTACTCCAGGTATAATGTCTACTATGATGATACCTCCTCCACCGGTTCCACCACAATTCATGTTCCCGCCTCAAGTGGCAGCAGCGGCAGCAGCAGCAGCTGCAGCTGCAGCAACCCCAATCTTTCCTCCAGGAACAACGCCCATTCATTATCCAAGTCAAGATCCGTCCCGAATGGGAGCTACTCAAGGTATAGGCAAGCCTTGGCCTGAAGAAGATTAATGTACAGTCTCCGATACATTACATACAATAGAAATGTTTAATTCTGTTTTTACTCAAAACGGATTAATTTATAATATAAGAAAACAAAGTATTGAACTTAAGGGCCTGCTTTTCAGGTGCTCTTATGTTAAGTGCTGCTGTTGTGTAACATTAAATCTAAAAACACGGTACATATTTTTCATTTATATTAATGAGGCAGTACTTTTAATAGATGTTTCCTTTATTAACACCTGTGTAGTGTCATTGCCCCTATTCCGTTGTATCCTATGTAAACTTGAAACGTAAAATATGAAAAACTAATGTTTGCATTTTTTTTAACAAAACCGTTTTTTTAACAAGAAAGTTCCAGCTTTTCGAATTTTCTCTAGTTTGACATAAAAACGTTACTAGTATGTCATAATTTTTCGACATTAATTCTGTTGTTTAAAAATATGTGTTTTTATTAGGAGCATTCTCACAGGTTAACTTTCTAAGTACATTGAATATCTCAACTGTACCATCTTTGACTGGGCAGATTTCGTTTAATAAATAATCACTTAAATAATGAATATGCACATTAAGGTTATGTATAAATAATATGAAGAGACTTATAGATACGTATTGTTTCTTTGGTAATTAAAACTCTACTGGATCGTAGACTGTGTCACTTGTAGGATCACCCTTTAATAGAGCTATAATCATGCTGTAAAGGACACAAAGATAAGATTAATAAAAGTGCTTACAAATATTTATCCATTATCTAAATCATTAAATACAGTAGTTACCCATAAAGGTAGATGAAAAAGAAGATGAGATAATGCCCGAGGTATATCATGCAATCTCGTATATGCCTCTTGAGCTGACCACGATTGTGGATTTCCGTTGGATCATAGATACCCATGTTTCCCTTAGGCACTGTGAAGTACTCATAGAAGAGCCAAATAATCATTGGTAGATTTCCCAAAGTCAGTATCCACTGACCATAAAGTAATAGAACTAATACTAAAAATGTATGCGCTACAAGTTTTGGTACCACCCACTGAAAACATAAAATTAATTTATATTCCAGAACAATCAGTGGTTCAAGTTCGAAAGACAATAATTACCTGATTAAGTTTTGAACAACACTGCCGAGCATTTAAATAGTCACATTCTAAATCCGAGAGTGTTATTACCTTAATATAACGTTGAGGAAAAAAATTGTTCTCGCTCTTTGATCGTTCCATACATAATTATATCTAGATATTACTAAATTAATTAACATTAATATACATATAAGGGAAAGGTCCAAATCTACCGATGCATAATCAAAACTCAGAATGAATAGATCCAATTTGATTTTAAAATTAATTGACTTCGCCGTCGAGACACTGTCTGAACGTGCCGAAATGAAAATCCCTAGTATAACAATGACAAATGAATCAAATTGAACTTACGCGTTCCTTCCCTATTATCACAAGTTATTTCAGTCGAAATACAGAAAAAAAGGATACGAAGTAAACTAGCATGAAAAGAACGACGCCTGTATCGACCAGTGCTAGTGCAAACAACAGCGGCTCTGAAATCATACTTATCGGTAGCCCTTTATCAGTGTAAATAGAGCAAAGGTAGGTCCAATCTTAAGCTCCAGCACTTCATTGGGCCGTTATTTTAAACGGTGGATGGCGCAGGTTGCTTCGTTGCACCTGTACCCCGAATTACCGATTAAATTCAACGGAATCGACTGTCAATAAGCGTTCACTCCTTCCACCTTTGCGCAATTTGGTTTCTCTTTGTATTATTGGCTGTATCGGAAACGTAACTAGGACGTCCGGTCCATAGATTAAAAACTAGTGAAGATGGTGGTCGATCGTATGTGAGCTGTGTGAAAAGAAGGGCGCTGCCATCGTTGTCTTCCGAACATACCTTTGTACTTTTTCTTTCCTATTTTTATAATGAATAATTCCTGTCAAACACCGATATCGTTCGACGCAATAAGAGTGATAAAAATGACGTATCTAACATAACTATGTTATTAATTTAATCGTATTCCGTGTTACATTTAAACTTTTCTTTCTTCGTCCACGGGTTCAAGACTCAGATGTTAGAATGAAATTGTTTCTTTCATTGACGATATTTCTTTTAAATGGGATGAGGGTAGAAATTGTACAGTTGATAGACCGCATTTTAATAATTAAAGGTCTTCACGTTAACCGCCTGTAACGGTATTTTCGTCTGCTTTTTTCAATCCAAGATGGCGACAATCACGTGACGGTCGCCGTTGCCTTCTACCCCTTTTGGTTGTTTTTGATTTTGTGCCCTCTCCCCCTAGACAAGTCTAGCTGAATCCTAGTTATATTCTGACATTTTCTGCTATATTCATGTAAATTATTGGTTTGCCCTGTCTCTTTATTATTCGTGCGAGGGTCATTCCGAATGAAGCGTAGGTCATATTCGGTTGTCCCCAATTTACGCGTGAATCGTGCTTTACTGCCCACTGCCCTTTTCGCAACGTAGCCATTTTTTTTGTTTACTGCCTGAGAAGCGTTTTATCAAACGATCAGCTGATGATCGAATTGTTGAAATAATTGTCGTCCTGCTGCGGCTTTCAGGCGATGTCAGCTGGCAAGGAAAACAAATGAGCTTCTTTAGGCGTCACCGACGTGATTAGGCGAATCAACTTTCTAATCAAGTAGGTACGTACGGTGGTTAAGTATTCCGGAACGTGAGCGATAATGATAGCTTTCAGGTTTCTACGCTAACGCGGCAGTCCGATAAATTTAACCTGTTAAGAGGCTAAGAGGGTATCTCGCGGGTTGCCGTTTATCAAGAGATAAGCGAAGAGAGAATAAACCTCTGTGCAATTAGTTCAGATAAAGTTAGGAACTGGCTCTACGATTTTCGTTAACATTAGTTGTAAACTAATTGGTGAGAAAACATGATGCGTTGCAGCGATCCTGGCCCAACGATGGGGAATGCTGGCAGTAATCAGCCTGTTTCGCATCATACCGGCCATGTGAATCGAGAGATACATCGTCAGGGTAAGGACATTCCACCATCTTCCCCAAATAAGGATGGACAAGCGTTTGTCTTTGATAAGAAGCCCAGTCAGAAGATAGTATTCCAATCTTCTCACGAAGACGAAGAACCATATTATACAAAGGTATAGGCAGAAAGTGTTTATTGTTTAAAAGCAGTTTTTAGACTTGAATGAACACATAATACAGTGGAAAGTTTTCGTAATTTTTCAAACAGAGAGAGCAGCACGAAGGTGACAACTTTGGAGCTCAGCGGCCACGTTCGAACACGGTCTCCGAGGGTACAAAAGTATCGGACAGTAAAGTCTTGCCAACAGTATTCAAATGGGAAGGAGGGGGGAAACAAGTTTACATCAGTGGTACATTCACTGGATGGAAGACATTACCTATGGTAAAAAGTCATGGAGATTTTGTAACTATTATTGACTTGCCGGAAGGAGAGCATCAGTATAAATTCTTTGTCGATGGAGAATGGAGACACGATCCTGGACTGGTATGCGCTACTGTATATTAATTATATATTTTATATTTTCAATCATAATTTACATTAGATATGTTCTCAAATTGAATACATTATTTTTTAAATGCCATGCAACTTGTAACTCATGTTTCAGAAAATAGTTGACAATGGTACAGGGTTTAAAAATAATTTAGTATCGGTAAAGAAGTCTGATTTTGAAGTGTTTCAAGCACTTGCAAAGGATAGCGAAGGAGTTACTAGTAGTGCACAAACTGAATATGGACAAGAGATACCTCCTCATAAGCCTTGGGAAAAAGTAGCGGGTCCCCCGATTCTACCACCACATTTATTACAAGTCATTTTGAACAAGGACACGCCTTTATCGGTAAATGAGTTCTTCATAATTTCTAATTCCATGTTTTGCGGCTATCGTTGAATTTCTTGAACTCGCTAAATGGTTAATTCAACTGTTTGGTTTTCAGTGCGAACCGACACTTTTACCTGAACCGAACCACGTTATGTTGAATCATCTCTATGCATTGAGTATTAAGGATAGCGTAATGGTACTCTCGGCGACACATCGGTATCGAAAAAAATATGTCACTACTTTATTATATAAACCAATTTAAGCCTGTGCCATTCCTGGTTCAATTTGTTAACGAACCACAGCTGGTTAAGAGAAGAAGATTCTTCAACCTTGCGACAAGTGACCGGCCGTAACTCTCGTGACTACGTAAAAACAAAGGTAAATTATTTTGAAACGAGGTGAAAATAAAATATTGTAATACGATACTCTGTACCTTAATCGAACATATTGTATAGTTATTATTTATTAAAAGAGGACATCGGAAATGTGATTTAAGCAAATGAGTTACATAAATACTGTTGTGAGTTTATAATCCATCGAATTATTACTAAATATAATGTACATATACCAATTTAATATACATATAAAAACAAAATACAATTTTAAGTGCAGTTAAAGCTCATTGTCTAATGGAGGTATAACAATATTTAAAAGACTAGAATATACTTCTTAGAATAATTGTCTTTCTTCAGTTAGTAGAATCCTCGATAGCATTGGTATCTACATCGGATTGCAATGAATAGGGAGGTTCAGACCTCGTTCGTAAATAATAAGATCCTGATGCAGAATGACTGACATGGGCTCCCATTAAGGCAGTATCGTTGTCCTCGCAGTCTCCCTTCGTAAATGCATTCCAAGACGAACACTTCTTTGCTGGAAATCCTGTCTTTGAATTTATGCTTTCGGTATAATACATGTATGACCGTCCATGGCTACAAGCCTCTGTGCATGTAATGATTGAGTTTTAGTAATTACTAATCTAAAGGATATAGAACAATACTTTATATTGCGTGAACAATCTCTTGAAAATATTTCAGAAATTTTACCTGTAACTTCAACAGTACAACAACATCCAGGTTGAACGGCGACTCCACCATTTGGGTAAAAATCGACGTGACCAAGAGGTTGAAGAAAGCCGAGAATTGCCCCGCAGGTATGAATGATGTCAACAAACTTTGCGTCCGATGGATCTAGACGACGATTTTCTGATGCTAGCACATGAAATCCTGGTGACGCTGGATCCAAACCAGTTATTCTTCCCAATGTTCCGTTTAATATAAAGCCAGCATTTCCAGCTACATGTGCGCCAAGAGAATGACCTGTATACGGAAAATATTTTGGTAGAATTTCGAGATGAACCTTTTCAAATTTGGATTGATAACTCACCGATAAAGTGAACATCGCCAATCTTTACGCCAGCTTCTCTAGCAAGAAACTCGATGAACATTGCAGCATCTGTGCCAACTGTTACCGTATTGTGCACTGGGCCCAAATAGAAGGAGCTCGCTGCTAGTGGTTCCCAATCAACCATGAAAATGTTATAATCTGCATAAGTCAGGTATGCTGAAAATATTTACACCAGATTATTGATTAGACCAGAAGACCAATATATTGATTTATTAAAAAAAAAAAATGATCATTCATCAGACATTTACATTTTAAATCTCATTTCTTTACCTGATTTCATTTCTAACAGACCGTTACTGAATACAGTTGATTTCCACCCATGTGTGATAAATTTCGTTTTCCGTGATGATGAAAAGCCAGATGCTGTCAGAGCCGCCGTGTCGTTGATGGGTATGGCTGTGCCATTTTCTGGGCCCCCTCTAAAAAATAATTTTCAAATAAAATATATGTCAATTCATATAGTATGAATCATTTTAAAATAATATTATTTTAGCGTTCTTTCAATTGATTGCTTCGATCTAGTGATCGGGCTAAGTGGCGAATAAAGACTCACTGTTTGGAAATAGACTCCATAGTAATATATCTTTTCACAATACCGTATAAAAAGATAAAACGTGATGGATGAATCGAATATCCCTCGGGTGTCAGGCTCTTCCTTTAAAATAGCAACTTGTGGGACCCCGTTCCCATCAGGAAAGAATATCCAGTCTATCCCATAGTTCGAGTCATTCCTGCGTCTGCCACTGTTTATCACTTGTGAATCTCCATAATTTCCAAAAAGAATTGCAGCTAGCAATAAGAGGTAAGAAAATAACCCATCTAATGACATTTTCATTCTACTAGTAAATGTTTAAACACGAGATTTACGGTCTTGGACCTTACAGACTATAGTTAAAGGCTAACACCATACACTCGATACCTTAGGAAGAACACAGTCTTATAAATCCCCTTAGTATCGCAAACCTCGTAAATACTTCACTTCTTGGCCCACTTTTTCTTCATTTATCTTCCCATTATCGTCAATGCGGAAGTACTAATAAGTAGCTTCCTGACTTTTAATTATGCAGAGGTGCAGGTTGGTATCTAATTAACTCCACGTCAAACAGATAATATTGTATGACCACACCGGTTTTTGCCCCTGATAAATGATATCGCACATGCACTATTCTCCACATTTGACTTACACTACTAGCCGAGGATAATGAAAGTACAAATGGAATCATTATCACTTTACTTCAAGATCACTTGAACTGGTTTAGGATCGTCTCATCAATCGAAACAACAAGGTACAAAGGTGTATATGATAACTGAGCCACATATCTTTACCCGATTATTGCAACATTATTGTGAACAATGTTCGAGATCCACCTCGATTTCATCATGGCACGGTTGGAGATTCCACGTGTTATCACACGGTCTTGTTACTCAATGGATGTCGACTGAAGATAAAGACTGCAGGTAATTTCATTCATTTCTATCCATAGGATAGTATTAAGAATACAGTAGATTTCTCATGATATCCGTGGTGGAAATCAAAACCTGAAATAATGGAATTTAACTTTCTTCTATCAAAATGATTCCACGAACGCTTACCTTTGTCAATTGCAACGTGCCCAAATTCTCCTCCACTGAAGCACCCTGTCAGAGGTACATCAGGAAATACTTTCCTGAACAATTTCGATTCCACATCCTTGTGATTGAAAATTCTAGTGCCACGTAAGAGACACGAGAATTTTAGTCCTACCGAATATTTCCTTAATTTGATATTAGCCCTGAAAATCTTAAGTTTCTCTTCGATCATCTTTTTTGTAGTTTCATGCTTTATTATAACGGACCATGAATCTACGTCTGCACCACTGATGCGTATGGCAATCCAAGACAATGGTGCACTGCATGATTTCTTTCTGGAAAACTCTTTGCATAAGTATAAACCTGGACATATTCCTCCACACATAGGGATCCTCCTAAGGCCATAGCGTCTGAAAAAAAAAAAAATTAATCATTGGTAATTCTTTATTATAAGTATCATCATTAAATAATACCTTGTAATGGACTTCAGGGTATTTTTGATAAAGGATAAACTAGTGGGAAGAGCAAGCAATATTATGCATTTAGCGTCGGGGCTATTCATAAATGCTTGAAGGTCCTTTTTATTCTTATATCTTTCACGGTTCTCGCTAGAATATGAAAATGAATAGCTTGTGATCTCGACATTAGGAACCTTAGGCAGGAAAAAACATGATATCCTAGTGTCATCGGTGTCCTCTATCTCCGTTTCGTCGCATACCACTCCGTAGGTATTCACAATTATGGTATCACAATCGTGAGGCAGATGCTTGCAGATACAATCTTGAAATCAGACCCAGATTTAGTTCACTATTTATGTTGTCCCAAATCAATGACACCGTACGATTTTGTGACAAATGCTGGAAAAGATACCATTATGGTTTGAAGTACAGTTCCAACGAATTCGTTCGGTTTTGTTTAAATTGTGAAACAATAATCCCATCACTGGTTTAATCCATAAATTGTTAATGCATTTCCTGTGGAGGGTATCGTCTTTTTTGCTTGGATCTTCGTCAAGGTGGATCATAAATACATCTGGCCATAACCTGGCTTTCTCTTCGTCTAAAGCAGCCTTCTGCCAAACTCTAAAGAAACGTAAAAAATTAAGAGTTTCAGCGTATAAAAAAAGTTTGCAGATTACTCGTAAGACCTGATACAATGGCAACTGGACAATCTTAATTATTCAACTTCATTGCCTGTTAGATGACAGGATGTCACGTCTATCCTAACATAACCTATCATAATCCTACTCGTTCGGATTTTATTTAAGTGATACTTTGAGCATTCCGCGGTTTCTTAATCCCAAAAGCGCGCACCTGGAGACATAACCAGCGTTCTTCAGATCTCGTATGTTCAAGTATTTCATTATGATCCTTAGCACGTCGTAAATCAGGCATCTTTCGGCATTGGACCAAGATCTGTCATCAGGAAACTCTGACCTTTCCTCGACGGCGAACTCGTAACACCTTTCCCTTTTGGCAATTTTGCAGTCCTTTTTTTCATTATTTTCCATTCTGTTTGACAGTGCCGTTCCTGCGGCACAAGCCAATACACTACAACGCCATGAATGGGTTTTTCAAGGGGTATACAATACTGCACATTAGATTTCCTAATCCACGGCGCATGGAACTGAGAAGTGTTGAGATGTTGAGAGCTTGTTGACAAGATTGGTTAAATAAAATGGCGGACTTACACCATGGGCGTAAAAATGTATGATGGAGCCGAAGTTCCATTTTAGACCGGGGGGAAGCATAGAGTTTGAAAATTCTCGGTAACATTAAATTGGAGAAGGTAACTGTGAAACATACCGTAAGTTACCGGGAACATTGAGAATTTAAGAGAACGTTAATTTTGTTATTTACACTTTAGGTTTCTTCGTTTAAATAACTTTTTTTTTTCAATCAACTTCAAAGTTCAAGCTAAAGAGTAATAATTACTATTAGAAAATATTGATTATAGGGTCGTATTTACCTCCAGCTAAAAATATTCACGTATGTACAACTTCACGGAAAATTCCATGCCATTTGTTTCAAACGAACTGATATTTCATTCCGCGACGAAGCGAATGGGAGGTTTTGATTGGTTACGGAGAACGTACAACGGAAATTCCTCTCTACGATGTTTCTCTATAGCTAATCGAAACTTCTCGTTCGATCTGTTGGAAAATTCAAATTCTCATAATTTCTCGATAAAAAAGGCTTTAGTGAAATTACCGATAAGTTACCGGGAATTTCTCTTCGTTTCTGACGTAACTTATTGGATTTAGAACTCTACATAGGGGGTATCCAGAAACAAGTGCGTTAGTTTAGCACTTCCGCCACTAGAGGGCCGCACAGGACGTGATCGGAAAACCCTGCCCATGAGCAACCCCTCACAGAGATGAGTTGGGAGATTGCTCACGGAAGGGATCGTGC